CCACAGCTCCATGGCATTTGAGCATTTGAAGTGCACTTATACAAAACCGCATCACTAGGCAGGCCGATCAAGACCTGTTCGGACTCGTGCCGGATACCACTATCCGTAGGCACATTGATACATTAAAATGCATCCATATCCTGCAGGTGCTTAAATAACACGGAGCTGTAGCCTTTCTTAAATGGTCCCCTAGGCGGCTAGAAGCAAAGAGACGGTGCCATTATGGCGTTTCAATCCTGTATCAAAAGAGAAAATGTTATTTCTCTTAATGGCGGTATCGATAACTGGCAGCACGCTTGTAAACCTATAAGATCAGGGTTATTTTGTGCATAAACCTTTTGTTCGTTTTCTATTTTGACTTGGATGTTTTATTAAGATCGACAAATTTAATGTTTCGTCATTAGGTCTGTTCCATCGAAGTCACCTGTGAATCAGCTGCTGTGATGGCCGCGACGCTTGCCAATGGTGGCGTATGCCCAATTACCGGCGAAACGATATTTTGCAACCCAAATGTCAGAGACGTGCTAACCTTGATGTACTCTTGTGGCATGTATGATTACTCTGGCCAATTTGCATTTCAGGTATGACAGAATGTAGTTAAATTACTCCGGGAGACATTGATTTTGTTACATTCGTGTCCCACTTTCGCTGATCCAACGATGACAATTGTCGAAATTCTACTAAAATCTATCAGATAATGTTGATTATGATGATCTACTCTTGTTTTGTTTTTGATCGCATGGTGCGTGATCTATTTACTGAAGCTAACATTTTGTTCTTTTTTCGATACTGAATTACCTCACCTGATCCGCATAGTATTACAGTACTTTGTTGCCTCATTAATGTGCCTTTGGTGTTTGCTTCGCACTGACACCCTCTTTGTTAGGTCGGTCTACCGGCGAAATCGTCCATTAGTGGCGGCGTGATTTTGGTGGTGCCCAACGTCATGGGTTTCGCAATCTGGTCCCCACTGTTGGACGAGCTGGGTAACGCGGTTCGCGGAGTTACATTCTCTAAGGTAAATGGAACGAAACGACATTTGATTTGTTATGCTCGCTTTGCTCTCACACAGAAGCTAGTCGAACGCTTTAATTTCCATAACTACGACAGCCTGGTTCATGGCGACCTGAATAAAATTGACCCAAGAAAACGGCCGTTTGACGCCATCCATCCAACCGACAATGACATCTTCTGTGCAGCAGCGTCTGGTGATTTGGAGGCGCTAAAATGGTAGGACTTGGTAAACTTGCTGAACTCAATCACAGTAGGGCTACTGCGTGCTGCAATATTATTGTCTTAGAGGAAGTGTGGCAAGCGATATCTGTTGCCTAAAAGCATAGAACACAGCTATGAAAGTGGGTCTCTTCATTAGTTCAAGATGTGCTCCATCCGGCCACCTAAATATGCAAGTGCAACAGGGAGGTCAAACGGCAAGGGAGGATGATCACTGTCAGGCCCACAGCTCAATCATTTTTAGCCATATGCCAGCTAATTAAAATTAGAAAGGAGAGTCATCACTGGCGCTGCTCTCACACTTCCGATCACTCGCAATACAATTGGATGCATAACGGAATTTCCTTTCCACAAAATCGTCTGCTTTCCTTTTCAGTTAAGCGAATGTTGTCATGCGACATGGAAACCGTCATTTTTAGCGAAGACCCAAAAGAAACCGTTACACAGTAAATGGCAGTGTTCGCTTCGATGCACAGTGAAAGTTGCTAGAGAGGACCTGAATTACTATTTTCCTCCAGAGAAAACGTATTCTCCTGGGTGCATAAATTAAGTTGATTGGCCTTGCTAAGTTGGTTGAGCAGAAACTCTATATTCCAATCCGAGAGGTTCTTGCATGATGTCGTTCGGGAGACTAACATGTAACGCTGTCATCGTCACCTGCAGTATCAAGATCAAGGACTGCATCGGTTATCTGAAGCTTTGGCATCTCAGAATAATATAGGTGATATTGGTGGCTGCGGCAAAGGTCATGTTCCTCGTCGCAAGCAAGTCTGTGTCTACCCAGCATGCAACGTAGGTAAAGGAGTATAAACAGGTCTGCGTTTTCAAGGGATCTCTTCCAGATAAAATGCAAAATTCAGTTCCTTACAGCAAAAATGTTGAAACTGAATGCAGAGCATGTCAGAGACTAGGTATGATATGTTTTCGTAAACAGCTTAAGGTTATGATAAAAACACATTTAGAACTGAGCTCTGCTCATTTTTTCTAAGTAAACCTGAACAGTGCTGAATGGGATAGAAAAAGTACATCTACACGACGAATAATGCAGTAGAATTCAAGTATTCTTTCTCGGTATTTCAGTTATTTTTCTGTAGGCAATCATTGCGTTTCTTTCACCCTCAGATTACATAACGGTTTAACTGCCTCTTGTCTCCTTGAGTCAAGGGTGGTTTTGCAGGTTGCTTTTATCTGTGAACGTTTCATTTCACCATTCATACATTAGCGCCATCAATT